AAAATTTGGAAAAAGTGAAGATTTGTGGCAACACGAGCAAAAGGACCGTCACCTGGAGTAGAATTTTTAGATTTTTTAAAAATGCCTAATATTTTTAAAATATGCCACATAGATTTTTTTTTATATTTTTCTGATAACCAGCACAACTTGCCTCAACACCCAGTTCCGGCTTGACGTTACATTACGGGACACCCTGTATAAAAATGAAAACCGTTTCGCGTTGTCACGGCATCACGTGTGAACGGCTGAACCGATTTCGATAATTCTTTTTTTTTAATGTTTGTGGAAGTCCAAGGATGGTTCTTACGGAAAAAAATATTAAGAAAATCTCTACGCTAAGGCGGTACGAAGTTCGCCGGGTCAGCTAGTAACATATAAAAATGAAACCCGTTTTCCGTTGTCACGACATAACATGAAAACGGCTTGACCGATTTGGCTGATTTTTTTTTTTGTAGTTTTATAATACTCTGTACAAGGTTTTTACGGAAAAAAATATAACGAAAATCTCTACTCTAAGGCGGTACGAAGTTCGCCGGGTCAGCTAGTTCATAATAATATATCATACGTTCGAATATTCTGGCTTGATTGATATTTTATTAACAACAAAAGCAGTGGCCAGATACTCGTATTAATTTTATACTAAAATTCAGACGATTGAAATACGGCCCATTTAAAATATTTATTCATTACCTAACATTCCTGTAAGTCAAATCACAACTTATTATCGTCTTGTTTTCATATGTTATTAACACGAAAGCACGTTAATTTACTTTTGTTCGAACAATAACATCGGCACCCCGCGTAATCTCCAGCACCGCGTGTTTACCGAGTTGTTACGATGCAAAAATCCTTTGTATCATCAAGACACACTTGAGAACCCCGCCACGGGAAGTTAATTTAATACTTTGGAACAAGCTTTAATCATGTTCTTGGGAGTTACCGGGGAGCAGAGAAAAGTTGGGCCCATCACTCCGTAAGTTGGATTAGTTCTGATACACTGCTGTCAAATATATCACACAGTGTGGGGAGAATAGCTTACACATTAATTTAACATCTGGTTTTAGATTTTTCATTGTACCAATTTACATTCACTTACATGGTAAACTTATTAATTGCCAATCACTAGGCCACAAAAATAACAAAAGTGGATGAAAATAAACAAAATCACAAACAACAAACAAAATTTAAAGTGCCTATTATTTCTTATAACTATTTTAACCGACTTCAACAAAAGGAGGAGGTTCTCAATTCGGTTGTTTATAATAAGTAATTATAAATTCTAAATAATTGCGTTTCATAGTTTTATAGACTAAATCTAAGTACTGAATCAAGAAAGACCACACGTCTTCAAAGCCAAAAATCATAAAATAAAAATACATTTTTGTTCTTCAAAATAACAAAGGTAGGGTACGATACTAAAGTCGCCCGAAATCCTCTTAGGGGAAAGTAAAAATTATTAGTAATTTTGACCCCAAATGAAATAGGAAAAGGCCCATCTGGAGAACAAAAGGAATCGGGCTTCACTCTTAGAAGAAAATAATAAACCTACAATAAATGTGTGTAATTTTGGTCGGGCGCTTGTTTATCTCTTTGTGTTTATCTTCTCACTGTCTTAATGCGGGGTAGAAATAAACACTAAACTTACGGAGTTAGGAGTAGGTACATATACTAGTAAAATTAATTATACTTATATGAGAATAGTTAGCTTATAAAAAGCTCTTACATGAGTAAAACGACATCAAAGTTGCATAGCCTACACAAATTCTTTAAGTAGGATCTCGTGAAACTACCAACTATGGTTGATAGCATACCCATTTTCAGGTAACGATTTTTGATTTAAAATGAAAAAGGTTCACAATTAGGGTTTCTGATTTCTCGACTTATTTTTTTTCTCGAGTTTCGGGAATTCTCGAGGCCAAAGTCTCGAGTTTTCTCGGGTCTCGAGTCTTTTAATTAAAACTGTTGAAATCGGTTGAAATTTAATAAAAAAACACGGGTTTTTATTAATGTTATAATGTGTCTGGGTTATAATCAATAATACTGTAAAGTTTCAACAAAATCCGTTCAGTAGTTTTTGCGTGAAAGAGTAACAAACATCCAGACATCCACACATACTTTCGCATTTATAATATTAGTAGGATAATTATAACTTAGTAATTAACTAANACATTTACAAACAAAAAAAAATTTTTAAAGTTAAACTTAAAGATAACGACTTGAATAAACGTATTTACGAGTACCTAAACTAACAGTTAACAAAAAATTTTCAGTCTTTAAATCAGTCAGTTATACAAACATAATAAAATATAGCATACTCGTAGGTGAACATTATTAGTTTCGGTTAAGATCATTACTTGCAAATCAAATTAGTTAAAAAAAGGAAAGACTAGGCCAGTCTAAACGCAACGTTAACCTATTAAATAATTAAAAACTCACTTTTGTCTAAGAAAATAGGCTTTCAAAAATATTAAAGCTTCAAAATCGAAACTCGAGAATTCTCGAGCTCCGGTAATTTTTTTTCTCGTCTCGAATGAAGCCAAATTTCTCGAGTTTTCTCGAGTTCGAGAAAGCTCGAGCAGAAACCCTATTCACAATAATGGCTATCATATTAATTGCTATTAAAAAAATTGTCTGAATTGGGTTTAGTGAATTTAGTAAAAGCTTGAGCTAAAATTTTCTGTTCTCAGTTTACTATGACGCTGTCAACATACATCATCTCATACCCTCTTGTTGTCTGTGTACTGAGGTAAAATGATCGCATCCGCTTTTGATGTATCATTCGAAAGTACGAGAAGTAATTCAGTTTCACAGACAAAATATTTGCGCGGTGCAAACAGTTTGTTAAAACAATATCGAGTTCTGTTTCAACAAGCTACAGTGATGCGGGATCACAAAATTAACAAGTGCCTCGAGAGTTTCATTACGAATTTATTGAATGCCGCCTCTGTCGCTTGACGCTTATATTAAGTGTCATAGTGCCATTCCAAATCTCATATGTCGTATGATGTCGTATGAGTGTGCCAAGTACTTTGAGCATCCCAAATACTGCGGGCGTCTTTTGGTAGGAACATAATAACATGGATCAAATGAATCCAGTATGCGTGTGATGTCGAGCTTACAACATTACATGCTAATAATCTCCAAACCACGCCATGCATTTTAGAATTCAAACTTTATAGATCCTGGTTAATTCACAAGGATCCCATCATAATAATAAAAATAAAAGAAACTGAAACTTTAACCCACACTTTATTTGTGGCGTAATAATTTGGTTCTTAACTGGCAGCCGTCGATCGAATGAACGCTCGCAGCCGTCTGTCATGACAATTTGAATTAGTTTCTGATACGATTCGCGTGTTTGAGCTGAAAATTGTTAACACAATGTTGTGAAATTATGCTTTTGACGTTTCAGTTTGAAATGCTCTGAATATTTCAGACGTAAAACTTGTTTTTGTCTAAACATTTTGTAAACATTAAGCGAATGAAGCAAAGATGTTAGACAGTCGTAAATTACTTTTTGTTACAAATTAGCATAAGATTACATTACAATATCAAATTAGCTTAACGTTCTAATAACTATCTTGAAGTTACGCTATGCCAACTGTAATGTAACTAGTATTTTTGTATGTAATTTAAAATTATGTTTAAATTAATCTTAATAAATTTTGTAACCTCTCGATTAAGAGGTTCAAATCATATTAGCCCTGAACGGTGGCATCTTACTTTCATCATTATCGTCATGAATCGCTAGAAGACAGTGGCTCCATCCAATGCACGCCACTGAGCCTCGGTGAGCCTCGGTGTTATGTGACAGCCCGTCGACTTCAACTTGTCACAGTTCCTGGCTTTTCTATTTTGTCCTGTGTTCGGCCAAAACTCAATGAACATTCAAATATTATTCAAATCGCCCGCGAAGTCACGTACCCTTTTAACGCTCCATTACCAATAAAAATAAGACGCTCTGTTTTGTCCCGATCTCCACGGACGGAAATAACGCCGCTTTGTATTACGAATCGAGGGTATTGTCTTGTTTCACTGTTTACGCTATAGTAATTACATGAAGTGCCTATCTAAGATTGATAACTTACATTTAGTTTAATCAAATTAAAAGCCCAGGCTACAAAAAAAGTAAATATCATGGAAAAACAATGTTATTATAAAATCAACTGCGCGGGCACAAAGCCCTAAATTCTTGGATGTTACTTGAACGCCATAAATGGAGCAAATCGAGCTTTATAGTCCGTATTTTGATCTTGTCTTGCCGAGCTTATTAAACGGGAAAAGGTTTTCGTGATTGCATTATTTGGTTATCTTAAATTAAGCAAAGGATTTTGATGCAAATTTGATGTTGCCTAAAAATGAATCTTTTCCTCTCTTTACATAAAATGCAGTGTATGAAAGATTGCTGCCGCTGAAAATTGCTAAAGAATTTATGTCTGTTGTCTTGTGTATTTCTGAACTTTGAATTAAAATAGTTAATTTCGAACAATACAGTAGCACTGAAACTACGACGTGAAAATGGGGTCAGCTTCGGTTCAGAGGAAGCGCAGGATTGCAAGTTTGCTGATAAAACAATTAAGATATATACGTTTGCCAAGTTTTATGGCCGCAAGTCTCGTAGTTCAGAACATTTACAACATTTTTCTTTTAATAAGTGCACTGACACGAAAAATTATTATGAAAAAAATAAATTGAAACTTACCACTAAGTAGGTAGGTACTTGTAGGTACTGTGATTATGCAAGCAATTGTTTTACTATTGAGATAAATGATTTTGAGGAATTCTAAATAACATCGGTACATTTCTTGAGAGAAGTTACTTGTAAATAGTTCTCGTAATATACCAATAACAAAATAGTTACTCGTTGGCGTCTAAATAAACTCACTCCGGTACCGTTGTCCACGAAATTAATGTTCAACAATTTCAGTACATTTAATTTTAACCAAGGTATTATTAGTTTACAAGAATTTCCGTACATTTGAGCAAGGTATTTTGTCCAGGTGGACAAACTGGAGCCGATCGTGCTTGACGTGTGGGTGGAGGCGCTAGGACAGCCTCTACAGCTGGTGCGGGCACCGCGGGGTGCCGGCTCTGACCTCGCCCATACTCTGTGGTAGGTGGTCCTTCATTTTGAAATAGCCTTTACCTTTGCTCATAAGATAGGTTCCCTTAATTGATGTTTATTCCCCGTGGTTCATATATTTTTTTAAAGGTTACTAAACCTTTGTTGGTCACCTGTCATCCGCTTTGCAATGGAGGGAAGTTGAACCTCAACTTCGAACTCCTCCTATGTTCTTCTGATTAATGTCGTTGCGGGTCCAATGAAGGTTTAACTTTCCCCCGGAACGAACTTGACCTTCCCTGGTTGGGTTTTTATTGGCGGTCAAGCTGTAGATCCTGGCTTCACTGGAGTTGCAGCGGTGGGAACAAGAGGTGGGAATAGTCCGGTAGCCTTTGCCCGGGGTTTGCTCACGGTTAGTATCATTCTATGCGACAGAGGATCTTGTTTTATAACATGTGGTTATCTTCGAATGTATCGAATACACCTATCGCTAACATTTTGATTCGCAATGCTTTATTGAAATTATATCCATTAACACGCTTTGACGAGAATGTTGACAAATATTCGCATGCGTTAATTAATACCGAATATCTGAAATCCTAGTCAACCGATTCCGTAATTGCAGTGTTAATCAAAGCAATGCCGACGTAAATTGAAATACAAAACGTACACGTGGAAAACAAGCCAAGTTCGGAATAAATCACGTCTTATGGATTGCGTATGTATATAAAATTATACAAATTGGTATTTGAACACGTTTATTATGGTTGATATCAATTTATTGTGTATTTAATGTAGTTATTGCATACTAAAAAGTCATGTTAATATGAAATATTGTTTGCGTGTACTAAAAACTATATTACATAGCATGGGCGGTAGGACAAACAGAAAGAAAAAATCTTATTTTTTTTTATGTTATTCCATTATCACTATTTAAATTATGAAAATCAGATACATAAAGTTGATTCTTTGCCCATTTCCGAGCGCTACATACCTATTCGCTGTCGTGTGCCTCGATCCCGCTACAGCAGTGATTTTCGATGATTTCCGCTTGGATTCAATTTAGGATTAAAATTCACCGAACTTTTGCAGAATATTGATGGAAAAGTAACAAATTCATTCGTTTTTACAACCAAAATAATTTTCAATCTGGCTAATTGGAAAATATTAAAAGTTAACTTTCAATCCGGCAACTAGATGTTATGATTTATTCAAATTCAGAATGAATATTCGAGTGGAATAGTACTTTAAAAACAATCATTAAGAATTTTATATTTATTCAAAAATGTAAATATAGAAATTGTATAAATAATTTCGGCAAAGCATTGGTTTAGTTTGATACTTTATAGATAGAAGAGGTATGTCTATTAATTTTCACCCAGGGATAGCCTGGATAGTTTTCAAACACTACATTGCTTTAGTCCTTCATAAATAGGTCACATAATGTAGTTAGGCATCTAAGTAAATACTAGTTTATGTGTCTTCTTCTGTCCAAATGATAAAAAACTCAGTGTCATGACGATGATGATTTTTGCACAAAGTATTATAAAATGAAACTTATGTAAGAATCTACACACTCAAGCTTGTGATGCGTCCTTTAATGAAGTTCATCAAATCACTTGCTCGAGTTTAGTAGTTTATCTTAAATCACACACATACTTACTCGTATTATTATTTAACTGAGCCAGAACTGTGACATCATCGATAGCAAATCACTTTATTATTATTCCAAAGAGAGCTTACTGTACCAACTGCTGTTTGTGGCACGGACAACTATCAGAGCATTCCGGAATTCCGCGGGATGTAGCAGCTCCATAATAATTATAAGTGGTCCGAGCTTCCCGGGCCGGTACAACTTTGTTTGCGCAGTGACAACGAATAGTTTGCCTAAATTATTTGGATATATCGTGTAACAGAGTTATGGCATATAATTAAACAATAACAATGTTAACCCATTTAGCCCTACCGTACCCTATGTGGTACGGTATCTTTTCGAAAATATTTCGAAGTACCAAACTGTTGTTAATTTGTAAAAAGGATTGTGACAGTAAGCTTAAAGTGATTATTTTACATAAAAATATTTAAAAATATGTTTTAATAAGTGGTTTCGGAAATATTTATGAAATTCCTCGACAGAAAACAAAAAAAATATTTACAATGTATTTAAGAAGGTATAATTTCTTATTATTTGTTGGGGNGTAAGTTTTTGCTAAAAAATCGATTTTTATTTACAAAAATAATTATCGGTCTAAATGGGTTAACTACACTAAACTAATAATAACCATGCTCTACTACGAGTATGTAGTTTTAGTGTGTTAAAATCGCTAATAGTTTATTGTTAAAAGGACTTGTTGTTACCTAACTAGTGCGATAGTGTACTGTGTTACACCTACGAGTAGTAGGCAGTAAACAGTCCCTTGGCGTAGTCCTAACAATATCGCAACATTTACTGTGGGATTTTGTTTTCTAAAATTGGCGTTAAAAGGTCTTCTAAATTTCACAGCAAACAACAACGAAACGTCCTTCAAAATAACGACGAATATTAAAATTTAACTAGCTGTTCCTTGCCTCTCTATTCTCATAGAGACCTACACTCAACTACACATACTTTAGGTTTGTAAAAATTATAACTTATTTTTTATTTTAGATAACCAATAAAACTTGTGCCTATTTCTACGAACTGAAATTCATTAGGCTCTTGTCTCTGGTATCACTCTCAATGATTCTGTTTTCGATATAAAAAATTATATTAATTTCATAATATAATGTGAATAAAATTATTTATGTATCAAAGACTAAGTATATTTGACTTTGATACGAGATTATTAAAGTTTATTTCCAAGAAGAGAAGTAATCTTCGCAAAGCATTTAGGTATTTTGTTTTATCGACTTATATTCCGAGATAAAGCTAATGGTAATTTTAAAGGTGAGGCCCAATGATTCTGCTGATCTAGACCTTTACTTGGAAAGCTTTGCGCGAGGGTGGCTAGTTATCGCTTAATTTATAAGTTGAATTGGGTGGAAGATTGAGGAAGATAATTGAATATTTACTTAGTTTGTGTTTCAGGAATTCGTGCCTGTTTCTACCGAGAAAACTCAATAAAGTCGAGTATTTCTTGCGAGCATTAGCTATAATAATGCCTAGACTGTTAAATTAAAATAATAATAAAATTTCATTATTTTTTGTGAATATTTCAACTGTCAATAATTAGGGAGAGGGATTCCCCTAAGATTCCTTCCTTTAGCGGTGAAATATAGGAGGCCAAAAATTTGTACTTAAAAGCCGTTCCTTTCAAATCAAATCAAAACCATTTATTTGTGTTCAGGGGTATAAATTGTAAAACAGGTTTTGGGAGTTCATTTTTTGATTTGACTAATAAATATAAATGAAAAAAGAAGTGCTTCTCTGAGACGGAAAAAGGAAGAATGTCTTTTATAAAGGTTAATTTAATAACAAATGCTTTAGTAATTTATCAATGGGTGACTGGTGTTTTGTGGTCAAATACCTGCTTTGTTCTGCATAAAAATAATAATTAAACAACTACTTTGTGTTAACTCATTAACGTAATCTCTACTGCACCTAACACCTAACTGCCAACATAGCAAAAGGAAATTGGAATTAAAATATTTACCAAAGGTTTTGCAGCGTAACCTTTGAAATTGGTTTCTTGCCATAAAAGTTTACTTTGGCCGTAAAACTGAAGCAACCATAAATGTGTGATGTCTGTGTCTGCATCTTTCCCGATGTCTCTTTAAGTCAGAGGTAGTAAATTTTGAATAACGTAAGTGAGTATACAAAACATAGGTAGTGTGTAGGTACTTTTGTTTAACGCAATTTTTCAGTGCGGTAATAATGCGACTCGACATTTCACAAAACGCTTAAAACTTCGTGACATATCCAGGGCATCGGAACTCATAGAAGTGGCGTAAGTGCAATGACGCTTTTTGATTTCGATGGAATTGGTGATGACAATAATATAATATTATATTGTGAATTTTTACAAAGTGAAAGCTTATTTAAAAGTTATTACTATACAAAAGGTCAAAGGGCCCATTTACCAGCAGCGTACGAGCGCGTGAGGTTCCCATCTCCGAGCCATTTCCTGCCGCCCGCGCGAGGCGAGCTGCGGCGGGACTCTTACGCCGATTTCTCAGTGGAAATCACATTTCATTTCGCGAGAAAACATCAACGTGTCGACGCACTCTTTCTTTATCCATTACCTTTACATTGTTTTCACAGAATTATAGAAAATTTTCAGTATGTAATTTTATATTCGATAATAATCGAGCTCATATTTTAGATTCGATGGAATAAAGTGGCTTTTAGTAGTTAATGTGAATAATTTATTTTAAAAGCCTTGAAATTAGATATTCTCGAATATCATAATATCAAAAACTTATTAACAATTATATTGCTATTCCCATGTCAATGGTCGCTCTTTTATTGATAACTCGAATAAACTTCTAACAAACACGCAATTCTGCGTCTATGTAAGTGCTGTGCTCGTAAATAATAAATGTTTTTTTATAAACAACTAGCTGACCCGGCGAACTTTGTTCCGCCTTAATGGCAATAAATAAGCAGACTTTTTTTTATTTCGAACGGGATAAAAAGTATCCTATGTCCTTCTCCTGGCTCTAAACTACCTCCCTGACAATTTTCAGCTAAATCGGTTCAGCCGTTCTTGAGTTATAAGCGAAGTAACTAACACGACTTTCTTTTATATATATAGATGTTATTGACCGAACAGTTAATTTCATTTTAATCTGCAATTTTATAAGATTAATATTGACTACTTAAGACGTTCAGACCAAGTTTTTTCACCCAGCTGGCATCAACAACTAGATAGAAAATAGTTTTAAAGCAGTATAACAAACGAAATACCTACACAAAATAGTAAACGTTAACGTTCCTCAAGCGCCGCGCCGCCGCGTCAAGGTCGCGCTAATCGAATCTGCAAACATTATGACTTGGAGTTTCCTCAATTTGAGTAAATTTCTAGCAAAAGTTCCAAGATTGGAAGTCCTACTTCACAGAACGATTTTACTGTTTTTGACTCTATCTAATGCTCGCGATTGTAATGAGAGCGAAAGAAATGGATAGAGTCGAGAGTTCGGAAATAATTTTGCGTAGTAGGTAGGGTGTTGTTTGGTTAATTATGTAAACACGTAGATAATAATTGGCAGGCCAGGTGGAAACGATGATTAGACGGCGCGGCCGAGCGGGAGAGCGTTGTTGTGATGAAATAAAATTGGTTCACTCGGATCTTGTGAAATAATATCCGCTCGGAGCCAGCGACTGAAGAAACACTGATAGCGTTGAAATATAATAATAATTGCTCCAATGAGCAATAATTGAATGAATGAATTGATGAATGAGAGGTCTCAATAGATTCAAAATCAATTTATTTCGCCGTGTTTTTTGTAACAGCTAAAATCAGCTTGAATCAGCTAAATTACATTACCTATCAAAAGTTTAACTGAAATGTTAAACAACGGGCATTTCCCATTAGACCTCCTTGGTAGACATCAATAACACAGTGGCGAGGATCATAATAATAGATTGTTGTGTTTATGTTTGCGGAACGTGCTCAAGCAGCTGAATCGATTTAAATGATATTTGATTCGCAAGTAGTCTATTATCATATTTATTACGTAGTAATAATACTTTTAAAGTATTATTGAATCGGGCAAAGCCACGCGCAAGGGCAAGCTTATCAATTTACAAATCTCTAGCAAACGTTCGAAAACGTTTATAAATTAAAATTAAATTAAGTTGGACCAAAACCTCACAGAAAAAATATCCGGACTTGATGAAACATTCTGCTAACGTTTTAATCAAACAGATTAATTTATTTGCTGTTCAGGACGAAATCCTCGATTAATGAATAATTACAACATTTACCCATGACGTTAACTGAATGAAACTCGTTTATCTTGGATAGTATTTGCTGTGCGTCCGTGTCAGCCCTGCGAGCGGTGACACGGACGTGAGCCAATGAATACATTTCACACAGGGATACATTTAAAGCAGTGCAACCATACGCGATGTTAGTGTGCGAGTTTAGAAAATAGCAGCAATTTCCTAAGTATAAGAGTTTGTGATTAGTATTTGTACAGGTCGACATTATTTTGTAAAACTATTTGAAAGTTGCAACAATTTTCTTGAGTGCGGAAGTCGAAGGTTAAAGTTCGACACTCATAACTTTCTTTGTCCTAAGCTAGCCATTTCCCATTTATTTGGGATCGGCTCTCCTCAGTCTGCGTGCGTTCGTCACATGACATGGCAATAAAATAAAATAAATATTTAAATGGTAGATTCAAGTAATAAAAAGCTAATAACAACTTCTCTAATATAATGTTTAACTGCGTGGTGGTTAAATCGCAAAATGATCTGCCGATCGGCCGCATTGATTACGCGCCGTAATGACGCACAGCGATAATGACTGTTTTTGAGGCCCCCGTGTGCTGAATTTAAACCTCAAAATTTAGGGAAGGCTATGTGCAAGATGTGATTTAAATACTTTTTAATGAGACTAAAATCACAAGGTAAACACAAAATTTTAAATTGACATGATCCTACTAATCATTATCGCCTATAATTAATCTACATCAAATTATTTTTGTAATAAACGTTAATCTATGGAAGCTTATTTTATTTTATCTTACTAAAACACTTCAGTAAAATGTGTATTTTAAACTTGTACTATGTACTTACTACTACTTATTTGAAAGATAACATGTACGCAGTGGTTATACTTATTCAGATAAGTATTGTTTATGTTCCTATTTGTAAGATCGCCAACCCTAATAAAGTGTATAACGCCGGCCCTCCGAAAGTTTCGCCGGTTTTCACGATTTGATCCGTGTAGCGATGCGCCGGACAAATCCGTTGATAAATCCCACTCGCTTAAACGCTGGATATAAATCGCGCGGCCCACTGGGCGCCCACGTCACACTCAAAAGAGTCGGCTTCTGAAACGGTAAAATGCAATGAAAATATTTGTTTCAGTGAACGCGTCAGTACTCTTGTAAGTACCTAACTATAGTGCAACTAATTACTGTTTAGTAGTGGTTTTTTTTAAATAAATACGTAGATTTTTTAGGCACAATGTATTTGACCGCAATCGCACCTAATGATAAGTGAGATTCAGTCTAGGATGGTACATAATATAACTGCCCTGTAAGTGCCTATTCACTTTCACCCTAAAAAGGCCCGGATTAATATAGTGTAGTGAAATCTACACAATTAGCTTGTTAGATACTTAGGCTGACTTTTGACTGTATAGAAATCTAAGAAAGACATTATTTAGTTCACAGAATCTACGCAGCCAAAGTCGCGAGCAAAAGCAACAAATAAAAGAGCCAGTTTTATTAAGAATGATGACAATATAACGCAAAGCTCTCCTCCAGTTAAATTGGATTTAAAGGAGAAGAAAAGGAGCACGGGAAACAATAAGGAAAATTATCTCTCCCTTTTTTAGCATTTACATTGGTAGCAACTCCGGAGTGATACTCTGAAGAAAAAACGTACTCATTTCCCGTAAAGTTTTCAGTAAATATACGAAGTTCGTAAGCTTTAAAGCTTTCTCAGATAAAAAAACTATTAACATGTAATTTTTTATTATTTTTTTATACTTGAAATAATTATCGATACCAACGAATCAGACGAATAATGATTACAGTTTTTTAATGCAAATTTTAAGAATATAAAGAAACATTTTTATACAAGAGCCCTTGATAGTAATCGAGGTTTCCAAACTGCTGATTTCTGTTATTTTAGATCATGACTGTGTTGATTGGAAACCTATTATTCGATAAACCCATTTTATAATTATCTATCCCACGCTGCAAAATTAATTTAGTCGTTTACCAGGTTATTTTTACCTCTAAATATGCCTCTGAATCTCTAAAGCTTGACATTTAGGTTGACCGTTCATAAAAGGTTAGATTATTTTAGCACAGTTCAATTAACTCGGAAAAGCTATTTTAAGCACGACATCTAATTTATCGAGCAAGACGAGAAAGAAAATAGTTTCTTAAATTCATGTCTTATTTTCCTGAAAATTCCATACTAGTACATTTTGCCTTCGACAAAAACGTCGACCTGTCCCTGTCTTATTGAGAGACACAGAACACACATTTCAATTCCAAGTGAAAAATGTCCAGAATCTTTTTGGCGTACCTTTAATGAAATTCTAAAGGCACAAAAGGTGTCCGAAAATAGCGGCGGGAAGTACCCACTGGCTTGAAGGCGGGAATTCCACCGAGCGCTAAACAAGTTCGATGATAGGTTTACGGTACCCTTGGATATGTCCACGATGAACTTAATAAAATGGTCCTGTCTGAAATTATTATGTATATGATGCACCAACAAGAACACTTACTGGAATAAGAATAGTAAGTCAGTTCATCATTATTGATGGTTAAATTAATACTGAGCTGATGTCGAAAACTTAAACTACAAAGAATTATTACAGAGCAATCTTAATACAATTAGGCTGGGTTACACCATCTTATTTTAACTTTGACAAACGTCAAAAATCTGTCAAACTCCATACAAAAAGCACCGGTTACCGTTATGGTTACCGTTAAAGTTAGGTGGTGTAACTCGGCCTTAATAAATTTCATTGTTATTGACTATTACGTCTGTATCAATATTATGATCTTTTGAGTCCTAAATTGGTTTTTAACCGTCTATATTAAATCAGTTGAATCATAGATAAAGCCATGTATTCATTAGGCAACATTTGTTGATAAACTGTTTATGACTAGTGTGAAACAAGTTTACCATAAACACAAATCAAATCAAATCAAATCAAATCGTTTATTTCGCTTGAAAGTGGTACATGTAAGTGATGGTAAAGTAGATTTCTGAAACACAGGTTTCTGAAACTTGGCCTTCCACACTTGCTCTCCACTCATAGCGGGGAGCACGGCAACATGTATCATAAACAATGTTGCATCACCTATGTTTATGGATCTGTTTATAAACTGTTTACAGAGATGATGAAACATTGTTTTTGAACAGTTTATAAACAGTGTGTATCAACAAATGTTGCGTAATGAATACATGGCTTAAATGTTCAACTACTATGTTTATATTGTTTAACTGTAGTTTTGCAAGCTTTGAGCCTTTAGCCACTGATGTACGTTTGTGGCAGGATGTCGTCGTCGGACCCGGAGCGCGTGATGCGCATGAAGAACGACTCCCGCGCACAGGTCGTGCTGCACGCCTACGTGCTCAAGGAACATGGTGCAGTATTCCTTACCTTTTCAATTCCTTACCTTTTCAACTCGCCTTGTAGACTAAGAAAACGGTTTTAAAATGTCACAATGGGTTTTGTAATTTACGTTTTTAAGAGTTCTGGGGCTGGTCTATCTGAGTTATTCTCCTCGATATTTATAGTTACTAGTAACTCCATTATTCCTAGTGCTTTCTCTTTACAGTAGGTGGAGCCACAGTTTGTCCAATCTGTGTTTAATTTGATGCGACCAGTAGGCCTAAGATGCGCGCCGTGATAACTTTTATCGATGTCAAAATGTATGGGCAAAATCGATAAAATGGCGTGATAACCGCTTATTGCGGCGCGCATCTTAGGCCTACTGAGCGCTAGTAACTTTACGTAAGAGTCGATAAAATTCAGACTTTTTGCGGTGAGCCGGTAATGTATACTGATTCTACAAACTACTGGGGTGTCTAAATACTTTCTCTAACAACATAACAAGGAAATAACACGATCCTCGTAAGGATTTATCTTCTTCGCGAACCTTTTTTTACTTTATACGAAATCCAGGCCCTTCGTGCAAGATTAGGATCGCGCCCACTCCACAGATCACCCTTTATTTTCATTTCACTCGAATTCTTTAATTGTACCCGTGAAAAGTTACTTCTCGGAGACGCCGAGCTAATTAATACAGTTTTGTCTTATAAATTAAAGCGGTATTTCTCGTTCATTTGTCAGTTCGCTGGTACCGACTTTATAAAAAATGGTTCCCGGTAGCCTTAAGCACTCAATTTACTCATAGACTCTAAACGAAGTCGACAGAGATATTTTCTAAATAATAAAAATAGACATGAAGGCCATCTTTCATTCGTTTCAGCTAAATGCCACTATCTACTGTACAAAGGCCATATTGAGATCAAAATGTGGAATGATTGTAATTTTAATAAAAGTGGCTAACATTCTCTGGGCAGTCACCAGTCTTCTAAATTACTTGGATCAATTAATTCTCTTGAACTTGAAATACCAAAGCCGTGCAGTGAATTAATTAATTAAATTCACTCTACCGTCTTGTGAACAAGGCTGTAATTAAATTAATAATTAATAATGATGTGTGGAACGTTATTAATTGATAATGTATTTGAAAGTTGGTGGACTGTTAATGCATGTAATTTTTCATGTTTGAATAAATTCATTGACAGAGAATTACTTAGACAATAGGTATAAAATTATATTAGATTTATTAAATTACGTGTAAGTACATGCAACCACTGTCATATTTTATTTCAGAACATTTTCAAGACGTGATGCCGTTTCGTCTCTACCTACGGTTTTTCGACGTTCTGCCTCGTATCTGTCCGTGTGTGACCGCCTTCGATTGTAAGTGTTATTAATCGTCAAGTGTAGAATCACTTTTTGGAATCCTTAACATAGCACAACGTAACAAAATCAAATCAAATACAGCAGCTGTCAGATAAACCAGAACTGTAATTACGTGGAACACAATTTTCCATTTAGTATTCACGTCTCCAAAGCAAATTCTAGAGTCGTCAAAGTCAGTGCAATTGCTTTGAAATTACGCCATTACAATGTAAACGAGCAACCTCTTGCATCTAGATGACAGAAGATTGCTTGAGGTTGTCTCAGTCGGCTGCGGCGGCCAAAGCGCCCGCCGCCGCTGGAAACAGTTGCAGTCCTCTGTAGTAACAATTTACTTGAGTCTAGCTCGGCACAGATAAACACAGAGTCAGAGGGCTGTTTACATATCATTCTTGCACTGCAATGCTAATAGACACAGAACTTAGTGTAGTGAAAAATCTCGCTTGTCTAATAAGGCCTGAGAGTGGTATATAATGAGTGATAAATAATATGATTAAGTATAAGTTTAGATACTTGTGAAAACCATGACGACTTCTGCATCCTTGAAAATAAAGTTTCTCTATGACAACGGAATTAATAATAGGGTGAATTCGTTCTACAGCTGAATAAAGCAATAATTAAAAAAAAATGATACAGTAATGGTCTTTCTGAACTTTGTTATTGTATGGTACAGTTGTCAGAACTGTTATCTTTATTAAACTTTAACTGTTAGTACGACTTGTAGCTGATTTTCACTTTTGAATAGAAGAAATTCTACGGAAAGTTCCTGAATCTTGTGACTTTGTGAATTGTTTCCCTGTTATTTCATTTTCTTTATGATAAAATATTTTGGTTATTATGTTATATTTATACCTATTTATAGTTTAACTGATGTGAATTATTATTCTAGTTAAGTACCTATTGTTATTTTTTTAAATTACTTATCTATGTTGTACGTTTTTGTAGCGGATCACTGTTTGGAAGAAGGGTCAGAGGACAGCGGCAGCAAGGCGCCGGAGGACATGGACACTGGAGTGGAAATATTCTTCACCAAGGACTTTGGTGTACAAGAAGACACATTCTTCCAAGTAAGTAATAGATAGCGGACCAGAGAAGAGCTTTAGATATTAATAAGAGATGTGAACACAGAAAATATAAACTACTTGGGTGCCAACCACAAAATTAATGCGATCGGAAATTATATAATTACTAATTAGTTCCTGTCATCGGCAGACATCGCATCTAGTTTGCTCGCTAATGAGCCAAATTAGGACTAGAATGCCTGTTAACTAAGATGCAGACACAGACGGTATTCGTCTACTAATGTATACGTGCCGACTTAGTCCACGTTGTACCTTGTTAAAGCTTCAGCCAAACCAACGCGATCTGCAGCCTATGTGCGCGAGTGCGATGGCAATCAATGCGTTTAGGTAGATAGATAAATAGAAAGTATTTATTTGTCTAAAAACAGGTATCATTTACAGTTTAGGTCTGATAGCCATCGTCATCGCGTTGGTTTTGCAGAACCTTAAGGGATGTTGTAGCTATGCGCATTTCTCAGGTGAGCCCCACCGTGTCCACGATCGGCGCGAACGCTCACGGCGAGCTGCAGGTGACGTTCACGCCGCCGGAGCATGGTGAGCCAGCGCCCAACGCTGTGCTGCTATTGCGGACGCTGCCTTCTGTCATCGCTGGGTAATCCTAATGCTAAGCCTGGTTTCCACCGAGAAGCGGAGACGAGGAGATATGCGGCGAAGCTCCACCAAAGCGGAGCGGAGAAGAGCGGAGTGGAGATTGTTGTGTGAGCTATGCGTAGCTGTCAGCCTTTTCAGTCTATTACTGTCTATAAACACTGCACCACTCCAAACTGTCAAATTCAATCAACAATCAGTCCACCCGATACTCTCTTTTTCGCTCCGCTCCATCCTGGTGAAAACCGGGCCTTTTAGGTGACAATTATAATCCCTTTCCATAAACTTGAAGATTCGGTGAACGTGAGTAAAAATAGATATTATGTACCTATTTAACACCTGTTCTGATCTAAAAATAGCCACTGCTACTTGTCTCACGGAGCTCGAGTGAGCTCGGGGCAGCTCATAATGCGCTATTATCTCCCGCGTCAACGCGGCTGCCGGCGACGCGCGATTATTCACGCGCCACGACACTCGACGACAGACCTGATGCGGACACTATTCTTGCACTTCAATTCGCTGACTGACACATTAATAAGATATGATAAATGTGGTGTTTCTGTTTAATATGTTTTTTTTTTTTGCCGGTATGCTTGCGTATTTACCTTAATAACCAATGAATAAGCCGACAATCCCGGTGTTCATAATAAAACTAGTTCAGTTGCGGTATACAATATGAATCCATTGATTGACTGTTTCCAATGAGAAATAAGATGAAAAGCATCTGATAAATTTTATGTTTACCCGGAAAAAGCAATAAATATTCAATACAATTTTACTACCCGCATACAAAATATTCCTTTGAAACGCAAATAAATATTGTAAAGTTAGTTGTACTGTAACGGCGTGTCATAAAAGTGGTGAATCGCCAACATTCCGACCATAAAGCAAATTTTACATGACAGTAAACTTACACCGCGTGACTTATGACCGCAGGGCGCCCGCTGCGCGGTTCACATTGAATTCGAATTCGTGTCCGAGTTTAGATTCCAAATTGATAAATGTTTAATGCAACGAAACGTGCGCACTGGGCGCATGATACGAATAACAATTTTCTTTAAAGACACTAAATGTTAGTAATGTTAACTACATTGAAAAGAGGAGTGACAAAAGTGACTGAGATTTTAGTGCTGCTTTTTCTTAGCGCTGGTCTATGTAATAGCATCATTAGTTGGCTAAAATTTAATGGGACGTGTGTAAACAGTTTTTGAAAGACTTATTCATTGTAAAAAAATAATTCCTTTTTAATACTCCTCCAGAAAAAGTAGGTAGGTACATAATTAATAAGTATAACCACCATCGTAATCTGTAAAAAATATCCAAAGTATTGTGGCCGCAGCATATCTGATGTCGCCGTTATACACGTGTAAGAGAGAACAATAAAAAGAGTAGTATTTCAGTGAAGCTCATGTTTACGAGTTGGTTCTAAAGTTGTTTGTGCGGAACCTGACTCCACATTCCTGCTAATTTACTACCTACGTTGCTAAGCGCTTTTGAAAACGTAAAAGTTCGCCAAAAGTTGATACTGTTCATCAAGGAAACGTTAACAACACATTTAACGTTCCCTTAACATTTTATAAGCGAGGTTTTCGCTATGCTATTCATACCTCAACGCGGCCAGAATGGCATTGAATTTTGTGTGAAAATTTAAACAACGGCACCTGAGAACATAAATGAAATGAAAATTGGAATTCTCAATTCGGATGTAGCCGCGCGCGCTGCGCCTCTAATGTTTGTGTTACTAGCGCCAGCGGGCTTTTCAATTACTCCTATCGCGGGCTCAATTTCAGCTTAGCTGTCTTAGGAGGCCTGTAAAATGAGTTTCAATTTCTCTTAGTTGAATGAAATCTTTATGACTAACATAACTTTCCTATTAACGCCCGTTTCACATATTTAATCCTTGTCCAAATCTGGATTTCAACTGTCAAATTTAATTTAATTTTAGATTAAATATCCACAATTTTCGATGCGTCCACACTTTATTATTGTTTAAATAGTCTTATAAACAATGTGAAAATCTAAAAAATATTGAAAACCGCTGATATTTTTGACCAAAAACATATTCTTGAAATTTGATAGTTGACGCAGATGGATGGATGCGGGCAGCGCAGGACCGTTCATTGTGGAAAACCTTGGGGGAGGCCTTTGTCCAGCAGTGGACGTCATTTGGCTGAAACGAACAAACGAACGAACGATAGTTGACGGACGGATTTGGATCAGTATTGAATACCTATAAAAATCAGCATAAGACTAAGTATCCCATTGATTAGGACAAATCTAATTCAGGTTTTAAAAAAATGGTTTTAAAGGAGACTAATATCTTTTTTCATGAGCTCCATTGTGATCTGAACTCTGTAGCCTTTCCTCAATTAATTCAATTCATAGATATATCTGGGCTAATACTATCTGTCTCTGTACCTGTGTGTATAGACCGGGCTGGTATCGGGACGAGCCGCCGCCGCAACTCGTGCGCCTCCGGCAAACGAAGCGAGAGGGAGTCTTGCGCGCCTCCGACCGCCAGCTGCGCGTCAAGTTCTGCGCACTGGACTTGCCCAGTGGTGACTTCATGAGGTAAGATTTTGCTTTTAAACAGATTCTGCTAGGACCATTAGAACTTATTCTTCTATTTAAATTCGTATTTGAGATAACACGATTGATAGCAACCAGTAAATCGCTGTCTGTAAAGTAAATAAGCAGTCGACACACCTAGTGGTAATGACGTCACTTTTTCTCAATTTCTTTGTGTTGCGGGTAATTAAAATCTAATTCCGTTTTCAGGAATAGAATAGGGATACCTCGACGTGTTTTTTTTTTTTGTTGTGCTTTCAAGTCTTTGCTGGGCAAGTTCAATTTTTTTTTTAATGAATGACAAAAATTTATCGTTGATTTATCGGGGAGCCAGTCGTGGTGGCGCCTAATTTTGTCAGTGTGTGCGTGTGCCGCATACGTATGGCGCGCTCACCTACAAACCGCGCTCGGTGCGTTTCTATGAAGATAACCTACTCATTTGTATTTACTCTGGTTCGGCTATAGTTGATTCAACTACATTGCCGTTGTATATGCAGGATCCGCAAGAGCTTCCGTGTCCAGAACATCGGCAACGGGCCGCTGCACGTGACGGCCGGCACGGGCGGGCTGTGGACCGTCGTGCAGGACGACGGCCCGCTCGGGCCCAGCGCGTGCGGTAACGGCTGCGGCTGCGTGCGGCGCGGCGGCGAGCGGCTGGAGAAGGTGCCGCTGTATCTGCCGCTGAGGAGCTCCATTGAGGTTTGTGGTGTTTGTTATAGTGATGCAGTTCTTATGATAGTGAAGGTGTACAAGTATTAGGAACCAGGCGTGGATGCAGCCCTCAATAAACTTCTGGTGAGGCAGCCACCCGAAAATGTGGGATAGGAAGGTACTAAAACAGAAATTATCTTAGTCTCATCAGATTAATCAATCTCAATATACTGTACAAGTGTGACTTCATAAATATTTAATAAGGTTGTGGGTATGTTTAATGTAGAGCTTTAAAATTGATGCTATCCTTTAAACAAACTTTTTCTATATGCTCCAAAAAAAGTTTATAATTTTATGTAATATTTTTTTAAGTTAATTTATTATTAAGACTATCTACTCGAATTAGCATTTGATTTTGTTGATAATGATGTTGGTATACCGTCCAGATGACGGTGGAGGTGTGCATCCAGACATCGGACGCGTGGCCGCGCGGCGAGACAGCCACGGGTGCGTGCGCGCCGCCGGCCTACGACGAGTGGCAGCGCACTTCCACGCCGCTGCGCTTCTACGACGACGATAACGTGCTGCTGGTACGGACTTTTTTAAGACGAAAACTATGTTTAACCCTCCCTTAGAGGAGGAACCCTGGCACTCGTAGTCGCTAACTATCACTCACTTCTAGACCAGTTTTGTTTGATGCTTAAAGTTCACGTTTTTGTGATGCTACATGCTCAATACCACAATCTACCGAGCATGTACTAATATGGCATCCACAATGTACCGAGGATAGCACATCAACCTGAACACTGTTGCATCTTTGTAGTTGTAAGTAAAGGGTCCTATTTTTCAAAGAATATAAGATGTGACGCACTGTCGGCTGTAGGTGCTTTAAACATATCTTACACACTTTAAGGACTATCAGAATGATAAATCAATTTATAAATTGGTAGGAATCCTTTCAAAACATACAATTTAGCTTCTAACCTCTTGCTACAATCCTTAGTGAGTCCAATTCACAATATTAAATTTCTTGTACGATTCGAGATAACGTTCAATGTGCTCCTCAGACAATCCCACTGGTCCTGGAGCTGGAGTTCCCCCAGCTGCGCGTGGAGCCTTCCAGCCTGGACTTCGGGTTTGTAGCGGATGGCGACTCCAGAAAGACCTTCTTCACCGTGGCCCACTCCAGCCGTGAGTTCACTGCCCCAAGTACACACAATTATTTCTCATTAAAACTCACCTACTTAATCCAACCCTCGTTTAGACAACTGGAGAAGGTGAAGTAGACTCGTTTTGAATTTGAATATTTTGAATAATATAAGGCAACTATTATTTGATTGTTATAGCATTAAATATCGGCATTTTACATAGTTTAAAATAACAAAATATAGTTGATTTTTTTTTAAATTCTTTAGACTCATATTATGATCTTGTATTTTGAAGCATTTTTGGCAATAGATTATACGAAATGGACCTGGTTTATGAATGAAAGCTGTATGTAATAAAATATACTCTATAAAAATAATATCCACTGCGCCAAACGCTGTTAGTTCAGCTCCCTCGCATTTTACCCGCTAAGTGGGGGCGCGAGTTATACTGCGCCAGGCTGCGTTGTATCGAGGTCGTTTGTCAGTGTCCGTTTGCAAACTTTCACCTAATCATTTTCATACGAAATTAAAAAGAGATGTTTTTGTTTTTTACAAAGACAATATTGTGTCGCCAGTCACTCTCAAATTACCTTTTCTACGAAATATTTTCTCGAGTAAAAATGTGCCTGTTTTTTATCATTTTTATCTGTTGTTTTACAAGATTATAATTATGATCCTCTTTAATCCACTTACTCTTATCTGGCTGACAGAATATAATAATAAATGAATAATTTTATTTAAATATGCACAAAACAAAACATTGTGGATTATTTTTCAGGATTCTTTATTTAGTAACAGTATAGTAAAAATCTCGTTAACTCCTCGTATACTCTAAGCTACATAAGCTTATGTTACGACTCTTCGAATATTTAGTCGGCCAGGTTGACATGATCACCGTTCGGCTATTGTCCCTTATTGCTACGTACTAACGGCCACAGTTTCAGCTACCCATTTCCGTTTTTTCTCTCGCTCTCATCAAATGGTGATTCTTTGCGATATCATGATAGAACGAGATCACATGACCTGAAATGGGTAGCTGGAATTGTGGCCGATATTACAATATTATAAAATGCATCAAGCTTTTTAAACCAAGTTTTTGATGCTTAGGTAACGAGACCCTGGACGTGACGACGGAGTGGGCGGGCACGGAGGACTTCGTGCTGTGGCCGCGGCGCCTGCGCTTGCCGCCCGGCGCGCGTGAACGCGTCTACGTGCAGTACAACGCCAGGTCAGTTGCATGCTTTTGTATAACCTGTGGCCTAATGGCATTGAACGTCAAGTGACAAATCGCTGAGTTGCGATCCTATCGAATAATCGTTCTCTCTAAATGACACGTGAATTAGGGACTGAAATTCGCTGCCTGCTGCTGTATTTCCTGAAAACTATAATCCGGGCGTTTTCCAGGCGAGAGTGAATAGGCCTAGATCTCACTTAACACCAGGTGCGATTGCGGTCAAATACCTGCCTTGTATAGCATAAAAAAAAATACGGATTTAAGACTGTTTTTCAATAGGACTTCTAAACGTTAGCGAGATCTTGACTGTCAAAATACGTGAATTAGGCCACAGGTCTTTGCTCTTAGGGCAGATTAGCTCTTATCAAGACTTTTTGGACTTCACAGTTGAAAGGAATCATCACGTCATTAAGTCACGTCAGCGCACAATTAGACATCAACTAGTTTCTCCAAATGCACAATGCTACATAAAAGTAAATGTTCGTGTAATATATTACCTTTTTGACCGCCCAGTTAAATACAAAAAATACCGCTATTAAAAATGTTCATTACAATATAATAAAACGTAACGCTGATTCAATATTGATCGGCGCCGTTACCATTTTGATAAGAGCAGCAGTCATAAAAATGACACAATTTTTTATGACGTTGCCAATGCAATGAATGATTCATTTGTGTAATTATTGCCTGAAGTGTTATTTCATGCGACTCTATTTGTATTAAGCCATAAATTTCAACATGATGAGCTTTCTAAATGTTAAAATTAAAATAATAATCAATGACACACTTGTTCTTATCAGTGAATCAGAATAAAAGAGGACTTTTAGTAAATAAATTCTCTTACCCTTCAGCTTTTGCGAGTAGTACATAAAATAACACCCCCATGCTTATTCATGGCTTAAACGTGCTTGTGTTCAGCAAGCAAAGTTGTGTCTTTTCTATAAAATTGTGAATGTAGAGTTTATTACATACTTTATGTTAATTTCAACGAAATTCTAACAACGTTTTAGTACTCGACAAACACAATCTTGTTGGATCTGACGAATATCTGTAAGAAGAAAGCAACAGGATTATATTGTTAACAACCGTTGCCAAAAAAGCAACCAATATTCCTGAAAGCCTCTCTCTCGTACATCAAACTTGACAATCATACCCCTCTTACATATGGGTATTACGAATGTAACCGAACCAAATATCATTTATGGGAAAAATCAACGTCATAAATGGAATAGCGATTGAATTGTACGCCGGTGTTGTGAGCATACCACTTATTTGCACAAAGCGAAAAGCGATTCGATCCCCCAAAGCGAGCGGGAGGAGACGCGCAAATATTCTTTCTCGGGAAAAGTGAACAAGCACTTTCTGGATAAGTCGGTTTTTCCTTTTATTAAAGCGGTCCGTATGAACGGACTTTCAGAATAATTCTGCATTTTATTGAAATATAGGTCCCATGCGAACGGATGGAGTCAATAAGCTGCATTCCTACTTCGCTATTTTAATCTTGAAATTTTGCAACCAATTTTTTCTGAACAGAATTTTAATTCGGAATATTTTTTTAACATATTATTTGCAGTCGATCTTTCAATTTAAATTTTTAGCTTGGTATGAACCAAAAGAACAAAACATAAAATCAAGATAAAAATTAAACTAAACAACAACAAACATTAAAAATAATATTATTTTCATTCCTAGTTGTCACTTAAATAGATAGAAATTATTTAATTTACACCGATTGGTACAATAATCTTATTTCTATAAATTGTTATAGTAGAATGCTTTGTTCCATTTATTTTTAGTTTAGCAGTTGGCATATGTTTTGTCCAAGTAAACTTATTTACTATCATAAATATGTATGGAGTATTTACTAGATTTTTCTGCAAGCTCCCACACTACTTTACTGAGCCGTACCTTACCACCACTCTAGAAAATCTAACCGTTCAGCTGCGCTTTTGGCTAGACTAGTCTTAGTGGCCGGCGGCTGGTAAGCCGCAGGCTCGGCTCGCCTGGCGCGACTGTTTGGAACAATAAAATTGATTCACAATTGTTTCAGAATAATATTAGAGCTTGGTTTATCAGGTTGATTCATCTTAACTCAAACTGGAATGTAATTAATGTCCCATTTATGAATCGAACCCGAAGTCAATTCTCTAAGGTAATCAACCATCATGAATGTATTGGACTAATACGTTACGTATCAGATCAAATTCTTCCCTATAGCCGCATAAAAGCCATCGCTAGGAACGTACTTAAATACCATAGAGTTCGACGAGGGAGGTACCGAAGGCGCATTACGTTTATTGGTAGTAGTTATGGTGAGAATTTAGTACGTGAAGCTGTTAGAGTTTTGCGGTAACTGTAGTGTAGTAGGTTGTGGAATATGGAGCTGTCGTTTCAGCTAAATGACGTCCATTGCCAAAGGCCAAGGATTTCCATAACGACCGGTCCTGCGTAGCCCGCATCCAGGTACTTCCTGAGAACTCAACCAGATCGTCGGTCCACCTAGTGTTAGAGCTGTTTATCAGCCAGTTGTTCCGGCCAGATGGCGCGGCGGGCTGGCCGAGGGCTGCGCGCGCGTGCGGTACGCGCCGGGGGCCGCCGGGGCCTGGTGCCGGGCCTCGCTGCCGTGCCGCGCCGCGCCCGCGCGCGACTTCAAATGCCACGTCTCCATCCACGACCACACTGACGATCCTAAGCTACTGCCGCCGGGCTTTAGCTTTTTAGAGTAACTATAGTCTGGTCCGTGACCACGTAGAATTTTGTCAAATGACCCCTAGCTACCCATCCTTATCGCTCGCGTGTAATTATGTTGCTTTCGCGCTCGTACACTCACTGCGGGTGCCAGTCGCACAGTCGTGACAGCAATATAATTACGCGCGAGCGATAAGGATGGGTAGCTAGGGGTCATTGGACAAAATTCTACGTGCTCACGGACCGGGCTTTATAAGATGTGGTGTGTATGTGGACTAGGTCTTTGTCGATGCAGTAACGCAGAAAGGATTATTATTATCGTCGTCAAACTACTCCTATCAAGCGACGTGTCATTTTCCACTTACGTGATGATTGTGAACATCGTTTTTGTACTATTAATTTTATATGATGACATTAAGAGATGATTATTATGTAAAAGATATTAAATTCCGTATTTTTACAAGATTGCCATTTCATTTCAACTTTAATTTTTTTTTAATGTTACGAGTAGGGTAAACTGCCAGTCATTGGACACTTAAGAAAGTTATTGGACAGTTATTTACTGAATTAAAAATAGCATTTATATTTCAGCAACTGAGAGATTCCGACTGATGGAGATAAAAGGGCGTTTTTTTTAAGGAATATTCATTTTAAGAAAATTCAAGTGTTGTTTTGTCCAATGACTGGCAGCGTCCAATGACTGTCGGTTTACCCTAGTTTGTTTAAATAAACAATACAAAAAAATATCATTGATATATTAAGTCCGTTAATCCTTAAACAAAGAGAGCGTGTTGTCCGTTCAACCCACCTACTAGTTATTTTCCTTTAGGTGATTCCCTAATGACAAAAGTTTCAGCGAGAATACGCCGCTCTATCATGAAATTATTTCTGTTACCTAATTTAGGTATTTCAAAACGTTTCATTCAGCTTCATGCTCATTCACATTTACCAACTATAAATAATTTTGATTTCTAAGAATCCAGTTGTATTGAAAAGTATGTCATTCCAGTCCATGGCGCGGCGGTATGCATAAAACATTCGCGTTGTTCGCGCCGATAGCGGTGGAACTTGGGCGCTCGCTTCACCGACGAGCGCGCCTTAAACGGGGTCGCCGAAGGTTCCCAAACTATGGTGACATCCACTTATCCCTAGCATTAATATAAAATGCAGGAACATAAATAAAACCGAAAAATACGTAATTGAACTGTTTTATAAAGCAATAAAATATTAACTGGATTTGGTGTTTTTAGGCGTGTGGTAATTAAATGATTAATTTATTATAGTCGTCGGGTCCATGTGGTCCGTTCATTAAATATAAATCAAATACGATTGAGAGTATTTTAGCAACTGTTGTTCTGTCTTTATTAACTAGTCTCATGAATTATTTCTTGGCTTTATTAAGCTAAGTAAATTAAATACGGAAAAGATTTGGTGTATCTATTACGAATAAATACTTGTAAATAGTCATAGTATTGTAGGTGTAATTTTCTGTTACTGAACTCACAATGACTAAATTGTTATCTTCTATATACAAGTCCAAGCAACTGTCATCTTCACATGTTACAAGTTGACACACTTTCAACGTTACACGTGGAAACCTCTAGGCGTGCTCCTTGTTGAAGCAAATATTACAGTTTGAGAACCGGAGTAGTTATGGTCTTACGGGCAAAGTTGTAGTTTTCAACAAAATTAACATAGGATCAGAGATTATTGTTTGCCGGCGGATGTTCTCATGGTGTGGACTCACATGATTATGAACTTTGCTGTTCCGTTGACTTTAGACAATGTAATACAACCAGAAACATTGTTACGGGTCTTGCACAGTGTTTGAACTTTAGTTACTTTTTATCCCAATGTTAAAAGGTCAAAGAAAAGTTTTTATTTTCTAACTTTCGAAATATACTACGTACATTAGTAGATAATCCGACTGATGGGAAGTGGCTCTTATTTCAAACGCCTGGCATGAAGAATACTTTATGTGCCATCTTTGAAAGATCTCATCTGCTGAGAGTTATCACTTTATTCTTTTAATTTGCGTAAATTATTCCGCTTCAGTACACTGTTTTCACATTACTGATAAGCACAGTATTTAAAATTAAATATCAGTCCTAGAAAGAAAATAGTTTCTTAAATCTGAAAAATTAATGAAGCATCAGTTTGTTTAGTATTGAGCTAGTAAAAAGCTCTCCACAATTTGCGAAGTCATTTGTAGAGCCCGTTACTTTTTCTGCACAATTTATTGCTCAAATGGAATTAAAAAGGCTCTTTCTTGCAGTTGAAATACTTGGCTTTCTAGTGGGATGTAGAGCTGTGTACAAAACGAATGGCCCTTCCAATTAATTAAACTGCGCTCATTGGTCGCCGCTCACAGGTTCGGAGAATACAGTCTGCACGGGAATTGACTACATTTGCAACCTAAGTGCGCGAAATTGTTTTATTTATTACTAGCCGACCCCGCGAACCTTAAAGGCAATAAATAAGCCATCGCAATTTTTACTTATTTGCTCACTGTTTAGACCTATCCTGGACTACGACAAACATTTTAAAACCAAAATCAGCTCAATCGGCCCAGCCGTTGTCGAGTTTTAATCAGACTAACGAACAGCAATCTGGGGGCACGGCAGTGCCCCCGCCAAGTCGAGCGCGAAGCAAACACTGCCGTACCATCCTTTACTGGAATTCATTTTTATTTATTAGTCCAGTCAATGAATGCCTTAACGACGGTGTAGAGAGAAATCCGTGGAACACAATTTCTGACCTCGGGACTTTATTTAGCCTAGTTAGGAGGTGAACATAGCAAAAGTCCCCGCCCTTAGCCCTTGAGCCGGCGGGGAGAGGGGGGTTTAAAGGTACCACTTTTNTATATGTAGATACTTCGGAGATGGGTTTTCTGAGTCTGAATCTAATTACTAGATTTCTTGTATAAAATTGCTTAGCATATTTTTTTCTATGATCAATTTTTGAACACGAGACCTTTCGGACACTAATAAGTACCTCATATTTATAATAGGTATTTATCTGTAGTTGGTGTGATCGAAGCTTGTGATATGAGAAGTTAAAACAAAACACTTCAGTGCTGCAGCAGTGTTTTTTTTTTCATTTTCAAATAAATTGTCTTCGAAAAGTCGGTTTGTTGTCACGTAGGCGATTCCCGACCCGCGTCTTAACTGTTATACCAGCTAAAGTATTTACGAGCGCGGCGGTGCGTAGGATAGCCTGCCTGCCGCCTACTTTATTACAAAACTCTGACACCTATACACAAATTCCATTTCAATCGGTTCATTTATTTGGAAATACGATTCGTGATTTGTTGATCTACGAAGTTTGCGAAAGAATGGATAGGATTTGAACAAAATTTTAATTCACTGCATTTCTTTATTTTTTGACCATCCTTACATATCAACCTAAACTATAAAAGGCTCATAATTTTGTTTTATGCGAACGTGTGTGTGGCCTAGCTGAGCTCCTTGAGTTTGACAATTGAATGTAGAGACGTGTCTGTGGCGGCCGCGGTGACTGGCTCGTACAAATGGAAACGTGAAAGTTTTCCTATTATGTACTATTTACAATGTTTCAAACAAACGCTGGGCGTGGATGGTTTACTAACAACAGGCTTTCATCTGGTTTGTAAGACTTTATTTTTACAATTCGCTATCGTATCATGTTATGCCATGACCAACCATGTGTCAACAAGTTAGAAAATAAGATTTAATTACTAGATGTATAATTTTTAAGCTTTCAAATTTAATTGGACATCAAAGTACCTACTTTAAGATTGTTAAGAAGAATCGAGAAAGATTGGAAACCGTCGATAATGGAACGTGAACGTAGAAAATGTGTTTCATCGGACTAACGGCCTTCCGCAGCATGGCAGCGTCTTATTGGATAATCAGGTGGCTTGCTGACTTATGATGACTTAGCAAAATTATATTTATATCAAGAAAAGATTTAAGGGGAAAGTTAGACAGCGCCCAAGAAGAATACCGAACAATCAAAGTAAAAGTAAGTTAAATATTACAGTCCGTTCGGGAACATTTAACTCAATTTATGAGTTTCACTTGAAAGTTTTTTGTTTCTGATTGACAAGTAGGTAATAAAATTTTCTAGGTTTACGGCGTAAAAGTGACAAAGCAGCGAAAAATTCTAAATTAGGGTAATTGTATAAATAAGTGAAACTTTGAACTAGCGACTTCTTTAACCTGCCGCTATCATAAAATATCTATTACAATTTTATTGAGGAAATAATCGACGAAATTAGTTTTCATGTAAACATGAAATATCACTATGTTCTTGCTTCTGTTCTTGAAGCCATAAAGTATAAACTAGTAGCTTGGTCGTAGCGAAGTATTTAATAAAACGAAGAAGTAAATGGGTCTAAGAAAAGACGCGTTCTAAAGCCACCTCCAGCCTGCAGCCTGCCACAAAACGTAACCGCACTGATTTAAATACACAACTTGAAGTCGAGCGACAAAGGCACTTCCATTAGGCGTTCATGAATAGTTGGAGTGGAGCGGGTATTGAATGAGTTCGCTTCCCGCCGTAAGTGCAGTAAATAGTGTATTCAATTCAAAGACGATGCAGGCTAGTGTCTCTCACCAGCGATACGATGCTATAAGAATTCACGCAGTTAGGAAAATTTTATAGACTCATCTATGACATACTTACATTGAATCAGGTTTGCCTTAATCGTGTTCTGTTTAGGTCGTCCACGGACACTTCATTTGTCCGGAGTTCACGTCACAACTATCTGAAGATGAAAAAAAGTCTAACGAGAAACTTAAGCCGAACCTTTTCAAGGCGAGAGTGAATCACTTACAGGGCAGATATGTACCATCCTAGACTGCATCTCAACACTAGGTGCGATTGCGGTCAAATACCTGCCTCGTTATGCAAAAAAAAGTGAGTTGTAACTATAAACAAAACTAATTCTAATAATATAATTCTGAAGTACATAAATCGAATGAAATAAAATGTCAGGCCTTGGTTCCCCACTTTTATTCAAACTTATTTTTATTGGGATAATTACCACCGTCATGTGTTACAATGATCGTAGCACAAGCACAGGCACAAGAGTATGAACATCCAATATAATTTACTTCATACTT